TTGTCTCTTGATGTACACTAGTTTTGTCATCTATCATCAAGTTTATGAACTACTCATTTTCAATAGCCTCTTTCACAACATCTTTGAATAACTCAGTTCTTTTATTGAGTTGAAAATTTCTTGTTTAGCGGGGTGAGGTGTTCCTAACATTTAGTAGATGTCAATACCTAAAAAAATGGGGTTATTCTTCTATAGACTGCCACATCATTGCAACAAACTGCGACATAATTGGTATAAGAGTGCCAAAGTGCATATTTTTCATGCTTTCTTCTCTTCTTAATGGGAGAGATGAGGCCACAGATGCAAGCCAAGAATTTCCAATCACCCCTAGGAAGAACTTAATCTTGTATTTTCCTTTGTGTTTTCGTTTAATTTCCTTTTATCTGCCAAGCTCTCTTTTCGATTGTCACTGTTGTTTTGATAATTGCAAGCACATAGTTCCTTTTTTCACTCAAAAGTCTCCTAAGTGTTTTTCCAATGTTAGTTCCATCTCTACTAAATTTAATCCTAATAGTCTCCTCTCCTTCTAGGGATCCATTGCTTTTGAATCTCAGTTTGCACTTTAAGGCTTTCCTTCAGGGAAGTCTGATTCTTTCTGATTCACGGGTTTCTTGTGGTGAATATTCATGAGCGCCAAGCCAGACAATCTTTCTGTCGTCATGGTGGTCCGCAGGTAGCCTTTAAGCAGCTTTAAGGTACTGTTTGCAGGCTCGTTGTCAGCTGAAGTCACTGGAATAGTGCATGCAATGCGCAGCAAACAGTGGATGTTGGGGAAAATGTCTGCATCACAGGTCTAAGATAACAAAAAAGAAATAGTTCAGTTTAATTTGAAAGGCGAACATTAAAAAACAAAAACATTAAGTTCTGTACCTCTAATGCAGGTTGAAGAGCGTCTAGTTGGCTTCTCTCTGACTCCCACTTTCTCGTCCATCGATGGTACTCAGCATCCAGAGTTTGAGGGTTTGGCAGTTCTGAGCTGTACATCTCTGAAACCACATCAATGTTTGCATCTGTGCATGACATGGTGATGCTTGGAACTAGACCAAGTAACTGCACAGCAGTCTTCTGAGTATTACCAAATCTAGAACAATTCAAAATATAACCACTGATCAGAATTCGCGTATTTGTACTCTGTTGTACTTTGTGTAGTGTGACTGTTATAACTGGAGAAGAGTAAGGGAACAGCTATGTAATCTGATCACTTTAAAGGGGAACCCGTCCTGAAGGTCGTCTTATTTTGCAAACAACATATCTAAAATGTTCTGAAGACCTGATTAAAACATATTACCTTGAAGACATCTCTTGTGTAATATGGTCAAGAAAAGGAACAAACAGATTGCGATGGTATTATTCCTCAGGAGTGTCATGGGGTGCATTTGCCCGGTGCTGCTGTCTTGAGACTGTTCTGAACTGAGCTCGACAGCATTAGAGTACCATCTTTTGAACACAGCTTCAGCCTCGTCTCTCTTTTCGTTCAACTCTTTCTTGGTCTCTGACATCATACAGTATGCCTTCACGATGTCATTGGACTTCTTTTGCAGTTTAATGCTAATCTGCTTAATGACTGCCAAAGTTTTCATGGTGACTATTAACGCGATGAGAAACTGGAAAGAACAACATGTGTGGTAGAAGCTATTTGCCCTCTGGAGAGTCTCTCTGTCCCAGTTCCAAGGGGTTTCGGTACTGTATTGTTTGTGCTGCTATTCATCCAAAATAACCTCAAAGGTTTTAACAATCGATGGAAGTAACAGCGTGAACGTTTCGTATGCCTCGTGACGTTCAACCCAACGAGTACGGCAGAGGTCGCGGATCTTAGTTCTCTGCGAATCCGGCTGATCAACGCTGATTACTTTCTCCATCGTAGCCTTGGCCTCGGCAGTTTGAAATGTCCAGACCCCACTGGTCAAACTTCTCCAAGATCAAGGAAAAAAATTACTTGACCAGTAATTCGATCGGTGCATCGAAAGTCTACAAACTCTTCGCAGATCATGCACTCTTTGTCGACAAACCGTAAAACCAAAGACAACTGTTCAAGATTAGCATTGTCAGTGACTTTATTGCAAAGAATTGAGAAGTACTTTGCTTCTTTGATTTCTTGAATTATCGAATCCCTTATGTGGTCTCCGATCAGCATTATGAGTTGATTCTGTATTGTTTTACTAGAATATCGTGCATTCGCGCTGCGGGTTGCTAGGTGGTTCTTTAAAACTTCATTGCCTGAGTCAACACGTAATTCCAGCAAAGCTTGAAAGTTGCCCCTGTTTCCATTTTGATCGGCAGTGCTGTCATCTCTATGGCCTCTCAATGCAATGCACTGTTTGCCGCAAAAATGGACGCACTTTGCAACACTTTTCACAATTTCTCTGTTTCTCTTAATCGTGCGCCCGCATTTGCTTTCAATTTGAACTTGGATGTTTTTTTTGTTAGGGGAAAAAGAAAATTCGGAGAGTTGGCAATTCTGCAAAATATCTCGAGCTTGATTTACGGATATTGTTTCACATCCACCAGCGTCAACAATTTTAATGTCAGGTAAGGATTTTACTACAGACACTAAGGAAATTCCGCCTACTTGAAAACAATTAGGCATTCTTAATATTTCTAGTGTATTTTTTTTGTAAAGGGAAGTTACTAGACTTTCTAATGTAATATTTTGGCAACTTGTTATATCAAGTTCGCTTAAACTGGGCATATGTCTCACAAAGTGTAAAGAAGAAATCGAAGTATTGTATCCAAGATCCAAAGATAGTAAGTTGTAACAGTTCATTAGTTTTTGTTCAATGAAAAAGCGTCAGTAATAAAAGTTAGAGGTCTTTGCAAATGTCTAAAGCCTAGATGCCGTAGACCCCTATCGTATCTAAATAACGAATTAAACGAATGAAGAGTGAATTCAGCGTTTGAGTAAACAGTTCTCCAAAGACTAGAATCATGCATGACATTATAAAGATATCTGCAGACTGGTGCAAGGTGTGTCATACGTTCTTCCAATGAGAGCCACTTTGATATTTCCAAAAGGACTTCGCGAGGAAGACTCATCATGGTAGCACCTGAGAAAATATTGGAAAATGCCCAACTCAGACATAATGGACCTTGTTTACGTTGTTCATTTTATTCATTCCGCTGGCAAAGAAACGTGTCGGAAATAACTTTAATTAGAGGTCTCCAACAAAGCCGCATCAAACTGATAATGATCGTGACTCGACTTATCCCGCATGTTTACAAATTTTCATGGTTAGTCTGGATTGTCACGTAGAGAACAGAATTCTGCTTTAAAAGGCATGAGTGAAGTTAAGTAACACTGCTGTGCACCTAACATTGTGTCCGAGCTTTGATGATGGCAATGACGTTTTCCATTTTTATGTAATATATAAGCTTAAGCTTTCTGATTTATATCACTAATTTAAAAAATGAAATACCTTGCTTTGAAGAAGATAGAGTTCTATCATTTTGTCGAGCGACAGTCACTGGCAAATCTTCACTGCCTGTACCTGTTTGGGTCACTTTTTCGGTCTCTGTAAACACAAAATAAAAAAAGTGTTGACAAGTGCCAAATTGATAGCTTGTAGTATTTTTTGTTATGGAAAATGTTCTTACCGGCATCGCTAGAGCAACGAATCCTCTTTGCACTACTCGAGCTCTCATTCAAACTGCTAGAAGAATTAGATGATTGGTCAAAAGACTCATTATCTTTGCTGGTCTCCGATCTAGGGAAGAAAATTTAGAATGTAAACTTATGATATTTCAGTTTTAAATCGATTCATGAAACAACTCTTGAGAAATCAGCACTGTCTGCTTGCTATAATTAAGCGTACTCGTGTAATAGACTAATCTATTAATGCTTACCTTGCTGATGACGGTCCGAAAAACTGGTGAATTTGTGGTTGCTTTGTCCTCTTCGACATATTAAGTCATGAGTTGACGTTGAGGAACATTTAAGTAAATTTTCTCTTTAAAATACTCCCGGCGCAATCTTTAACTCACTGAGAGAACGATCCACAACTCTGATTTCCAAAGAACGGCATGGCTTTATGCAATGCCGGAATTGGAATGATTGGCAGATTTGGCATAAACTGTCAGTTTTGGCGGGACGTGTAAGCGTTAATAAGCAGTAATTTTATAGCTCAAGCGGACGTACTAGGGGCCATTTTCAACTAGGCACAGATTTGTCTTGTTTTTATTGCTGTTTTCGCGTACAAAGACACAAAGAAATATCATTTTCAAAAGATATATTTATTAGGTGAGTTGGTTCACTTTTTTTTTAAACCATGCGTTTGTTATACGTTTTTATGTTCAGTTGAGGGGGTTTGACGGAACCACCCGAACCACCCCTAGATCTGCCCCAGCAATAGTGGGGAAAATAAATGACAAAAATGTCTAAAAGGGTCAGAGGTCAGACAGAGCTAAAACATTTTGCATCCATGTTCTTTCTTAGCACTGCACGTGAGAAAGTTCTACCAACCCCATTCGTGGATCATAAAATTTGCATTCAAATCCTGATGGAAAATCCCTGTCCCATATTGATATAAAAACTACTTGTAGGGTACAAAAACATGCAAAGCTAATTACTGGTACATTGAGTTTGACTGTATTGGATAATTCATGCAGCTTCACCTTTGCATGATTTCAATACTCTTCTAAGAGTAAGATATTCCTTCTTCTACACTTGATTGTTTGTTTATTTGATTTTATTTGCCACACAGAGTAAATTGCAACAAGTGGAATAAAACACATAACTTGGTAAATGACATTAAATTTAAAATGTTATACGGCTTGGAAGGAGTGACTGTGGTGGGGAAAACTTGTGGAAGACAAAGAACGCATTAGGAATATAGATTTTCCCCACCGGTAATTGACAACTCCAGAAAATACCATAACATACCATAATGCTCTTCGTTTGTCACCCCAAAATTTTGCACAAGCATTGTTTTCAGTTTCTCTTGGGGCCATTTTAACTCCCAAGAGAAACTGAAGACAATGCTTATGCAAACTTTTGGGGTGACAAACAAAGAGTATTGTGGTATGTTATGGTATTTTCTGGAATGATCAATTTAAAAACTAGGCGGCATTTCAACATGAAGAAAAAGACGTGTATCTTAGGGATATAAATATGATTACAGAAAAATAGAGATATCTAGTAATCAGGTATTACCCTTAAAAATGGTTTCATCGCACACTTGAATACATTAACAGTCGGGGCGTTTTATGTTGTTTGTTAAAGAATTACATATTTTAGGACCTTAAATGAGGATCTCAGTACATCTCATTGTCAAATGTTTTGGCCATGAATTTAATAGTTGGGTGATGTAAGTTTGCTTGTTCCATGAAGGCTTCGATGTCTGGTTTACTCATGTCCCATAGGGAAAAGACATCGTGTATGTAGCATTTCCAAACTGTTGTTCTAAAGGAAGGTTTTGCTTAGAGTCGTTGTTTCAATATATGTCATAAAAATATTGGCAAAGGAATCAAAACTGCTGTCTTTGTGCCCATTACAGTTCCATGGTTTTGTAGGTAGTGCTTTCCATTGAAGTGGAAGAAATTTTCTTTGAGGATTAATCTAAGAATTTCCGGCAAGTAATGTGTAGGAATGGGTTGTCTTTGTAGAAATTTTCATATGCGTTGTGACATACAATTTCAATATACCCTCGTTTTGCTGTATATTTGTGTCAAGACTCATAACGTCCACCCAAACAAGAAATGTTCGGTTTTTCACATTTGTCTTTTCAGTGAAAGGTATGATTTCTGTGATTTTGATATTGGTTGTAGCAGTGTATCAACAAATTTTGTCAAGCACAGAACAAGGTTAGGCCATCCTCTTTTTTTTCTCCGTTTACCGTAGTCCGACCGACCCAAATTTGAGGCATTTTTAAAAAAAAGTAACGACATAGTTACACCATTTTTCACTTGAAATAATTCTTTTAATCTGAAAAATGAGCATAGTAACAGCCCAGAGAAAAACAAGAACAAAAACATGAACATTTTTCACAGTATATTTTACATTTTGTTAATCCAAATATGTGAATGTTAACTTTTAACGTCGTCCTGGGGTACCAGGGCCTACTATTCCGAGACTTCTTTTGATTTTTTTTTTAAGTTTTTTTTTTTTTTTTCAATCCGACCGCCTAATCCAATATCAGGAAACGCATTCGACGGTAAACGAAGAGAAAAAAGGGGATGGCCTTAGAGGAAACCAAACATCCTTGTTTTAACTAGGGGGTGGGTCATGCAATTTCCAACCTTGCTTTAGGGGTGGGTCAGTCATTTTTGTGCCGAAGGGAGGGGGTGGGTCATGTGTTTTTTATCAACCACATTTCCAAATGCTCCGGCCCACCCCCCCCTATACTTTTTGACCAGTCCCTTAGGACCTATGAGTCACAACATTATTTATAATAAGGTGAGGTTGATGTCTTATGTATTCTTTCATTATAATTAATTTAATTGCAGTAAAAATGGCGGGAAATTTAGTCTTTGTTTTATAGCCAATAAAAACTGCCAGCTTGAATTGAAAATTGTTTCATTCACAGCGTTTTCTTCTCAAATTGCTTAAGTAAAATGTTATCAGTCACTTTTCCATTCAAAGTAAAAAGAAATCACTTGTTGATATTGTTAAGCGAATAGCTCACATAAGCTTACCCATTTATCGGCCAAAAAAAAGGAACGAAATGAAGCACACCAAGTCAACAGGCGGCCTAAGCTGAAGCTTACTGTTTAATGGTCGGGTTTCGTAGTCAACTGTTAGTTAAAAAGCTCACTAAAAGCAACTCTCACCTCTACTTTTACTGGCACTTGTTTTCTTCTGTTCTGACCCGCTCGCCCTTCGTTGTCTTGACCTGTCCCTAACTTTTCTATTATCTGGTTATTTTGTCTTTGAATTGTTTGTAGTAAGTTTGCAATACCGTCTTCGTCTTGCCTCTCGAAAGAAAGTGGTTGCGCCACCTGAGCATTACCTGTTCTTCCAGAAAACATCTTTAAAGCGAGAAAACTAAAGTAAAGATACCTTACTGAGAGATTTTTGTTGAACCACGCAGCGCCAAAAGATAAAGTTGTAGCGTTTAGAGTCCAGTTTAGCAGGGCACACTGCGTACATTTCCCGCTTTTTTTCACGTAAGCGTGCTTTCCATGGCTTTCCATAAAAGGAGTTGCTTGGCTAGTTTCCAGGATTTCTCTTCTTCCCTTAGACCTCGAGAGCAAGGCTGCGTTTTTTAATGCTGACCGTTGTTTTTGACTTCATTTCGGTTGAGTAAAAAGACAACGTATTTCGCGATGGAAGAGAAATCTATTTTTTGTCCTCATTGTGGTGAATATGTAGCTCCTCGAACCTTTCGGAGACACAAGGGCTCATACTTTAACACAAATAATGCTTCGTGGGATGGCGAAAATCTGTCCTCGTCAGATGAAGAGTCACCAAGAGAAGAACACTCTGAACCGGTAGAAATGTATGAGCTAAATGAACACGGTTCCAATGATGTTCTTGAACAAGAAAACGAAGCAGTCGAGTATATGGAGGTTGATCCCAACAGATCCAGGGTGGAGTTTTGGGAAGATGCTTTGGATGACGTTTTAGCAGACTTCAACGAAGACAACCCGGGTGATCCCCGCCGCCTATCGATTGATGTTGACGTAAATGCTAACGCCTATGTCAAACAGTTTGCCCTTGTAAAGTGGGTTTGTTTGTCTTTGTTGTTTTGGACAGCTCATTTTCATGTGTCGGACAACGCCGTAGCCCTAATGCTTCAGTTTATACACGTGCTGTTTACTGTGATCGTACGTTATGTTCCTTGGTTTGCACCATTTGTCCTTTTATTGCCAACCTCAGTTTATCTTCTTTGTAAGACACTAGGGCTATGTGGTGATAGCTTTACAAAGTATATTGTTTGCCCGCACTGCCACTCACTTTACACTTTCACCGATTGTTTTGTGACCATTGGTAGCCAAAGACTGTCAAAGAGATGTTTGCATCGACCTTTTCCTAATCACAGACAAAGAAGGTATAGGGCGACTTGCGGGGAACTTAACGGTGGATACCTTTTGAAAGAGGTAAAACTCAAAGATGGGCGAACCAGGTTATATCCTCACAAAGTGTACAGTTACAATTCTATTTTAGCCTCTTTGAGGACTTTTTTCTCTAGGGAAAATTTTTGGCTAAAGTGTAATTTATGGAAGAGAGGCAGAGACTTTGATTCTACAAATGCAACTGGCATTCTTGCTGATGTTTTCGATGGAAAGGTGTGGCAGGAGTTTTTATATGTCAGGGAGCAACCTCTCCTGTCGGGGGAGAGAACACTCGCATTTATGATTAACGTTGATTGGTTTCAACCGTTTAAGCTTTCAAGGTACAGTGTTGGGGTAATCTATCTTGTCGTGATGAACCTTCCCAGAAGCGAACGATTCAAAGTTGAAAATGTCATACTTGTTGGTATCATCCCTGGACCACACGAGCCATCTGGAACCATTAACAGTTATCTCTCCCCTTTAGTAGACGAGCTTCTCGTATTATGGGACGGCTGGAATGTCAATGACGAAATTGTGAAAGGTGTTCTTTTGTGTGTTGCTTCAGATCTACCGGCCGCGAGAAAGGTATCTAATTAAATTGAATCGTTAGCTGATTACTTCTAGTATCTTTGGTCAGTTTCCCTTTCCTAGCATGCATTGCACGAGTTTGCTCCGCCTAACCTAATTAAGGGTTGCTATTTAAACTCCCCTCAAAGTCCCTTTTATACTGGAATTTAAAAGATACTAATTGCAACGCAAGTATGAATGCAGGCAAATATCTTTCGGTTTCTCAAAAAATACGCATATATAGCAGTTAGCCATCTCCTGGCCATGACCGGCCGCCTGTGGTAAGGCGGGCATATGTAAATTTTTACCTCTTTACAACCAGATGAAACGCCCTTGTATTTCAGCAACTGGTTGGCATACGCGAAATCATCAAGTCTGTTGGGTCGCATCTGATGACTAGCTCTCTTCATGTAAAAAACGTTTTTTTTAAAAAGCATATTTTTACTGATCTTTTCGTCTTAGGTTAGTGGTTTCCTCAGTTTTGCAGCCAGGAAAGGGTGCAGCAGATGTAAGAAAACTTTTGAAGGTGGGTTTGGGGAGAAGAGGGACTATTCCGGTTTTGACCCATGCGAGAAAAGAACGAACGAAGAGCACCGGAGAGAAGCGGAGGAAACTCTACAGCAAACTTCAATGAAAGATAAACAGCAGTTAGAGAGCAAGTATGGGACTCGTTACTCCGAGCTTATGCGCCTCCCCTACTTTAACTGTGTACGTTTTACAGTAATAGATCCAATGCACAATCTTTTCCTCGGCACTGCAAAGAACGTAATGGAAAACGTTTGGTTAAATCAAACAAAACCATTGCTATCGGACGCTAAGCTGAAGTTAATTCAACAGAGGGTCGACCAAGTGGAATTCCCATCCTCACTTGGTAGGCTCCCCAATAAAATTTCCATCAGCTTTGGGGGATTTACGGCCGATCAGTGGAAAACGTGGACTCTAATTGTGTCTTTGTATGCCTTAAGGGGAGAGCTTCCCATTAACCACCTTGAGGTGTGGAGATCCTTTGTGCTTGCCTGCAAGATTCTTTGTAGCCCCGTTTTAACGGTTACCGACACGGAAAGAGCAAATACGCTCTTAAAGAAATTTTGTGTAGATTTTGAACAGCTGTATGGGAAAGACCTAATCACGGCAAACATGCACATGTATACCCATCTTTGTGAGTCCGTCCGTGACTTTGGACCCGTTTACGCATTCTGGCTCTTCTCGTTCGAGCGATACAACGGCATTATGGGCTCTTTTCCGACCAACAACAGATCAATTGAAATTCAACTTGCGCGTAAATTTTTGAGGGACCAGTATGCGTTTGGGGTTGATTTGCCGTATACTTTTCGAGATGATTTTCTGCCCCTACTAGACTCTGTGCAGGGCTGCCAGGCAGGAACACTAGCGGCAGTAGAAGTGCAACAAGAGGAATCCTTTCGTCACCTTGTGCCACTTTGCAGTGGTCCAGTGCAGAAGTCTTCCACGTGGAGTGAAATTTCTCTCTACTCATGCTTTCCGCCATCTTGTCTTGATTGTTTAGAGTCACACGAAGTACCCCACCTTAAGGAAATGTATAAGCTTATATCTGAGAATGTAGAGGAAGGAAGCATTTTTGGAAACTTTGAACGGTTTTCGTCGGTTCTGGTCGGAGGAGAACGATACGGCTCATCAACTTCAAGGACGGTTCGTTCATCTTATATTATTGCGTCGTGGGTTTCCGACAGAGGACGCATTGATATCAATTCAGCACAGCCAAGGCCAGGTAAAGTTTCCTTCTACATTAGGCAAAACGTTTTAGTAGATGGGGAGTATAGGACGTATTTGCTTGCTTATGTTCTGTGGTATCAATCCCATCCAGATAGGAATTACTTTGGGGAGCCTTTGCAAGTCTGTTGCAAAGACCTTTTTGAACAACTGGGGCCGGCCTCTTTTATTCCCGTTCAACGGATTCAGTCAAAGTTCGTCCCTGTGTTTACCAAAGTCAAAGCAGAAAACGTTATTATCGTGTGTCCAATTGGTCAAAAAATAGCATTTTGTTAGCAAATCGTTGCATTTTATACTTCAGTTAGTTGAAACCCCGTCCCTAACAAAGTGACCTGTCGGGAGATAGCAGGGATTGAATGTGGCCATTGCCGTTACTTTAACACACATTTCACAACGTCTTGACGCTGAGGTGGTGGCATTGGGGAACTTAATATGGCACTGCATTTCCCAAGATGGGCTACAAGAGAGAGAGAGAAACAGTTCGCGCTTTTTTCTGATGTAGTGATTCATCGATACAAGTTTTCTAATAGGCCTTTTTGCATTAGTTCATCACGTGATCAACTTTCAGTTAAGACAAAAACAGTTCGCGTTTGTACAATTTTGTTAGCGCGAGCTGAAAGAGCATATTAAAATTAGGTAACCTGTACATTTTTCAGCTGATATCTCAAAAGTAGCAATTGCAACGGCCGCAGAAAATTAGAAGGATTTGTATGAGAAAAAACAACTCTTGCTGCCCAGTCACACTTGAGTGGTTTTTGATACAACTCCTTAATAATTCTGAAATTTTTAAACTGTCGTTAAATATTTCCCCTTCGGATTTAAGGGCTCAAAGTGCCTGTTATGAACTAAAAGGGGATTTGAGCCCCGTAATGCTTAAAGAAATATTTCACGACAGTTTGAAAATTTCGAAATTTACAATGATTGATATGGAAAACCATTCAAGGGTGTTGCAATCGCTACTTTTGAGATATACGGCTGAAAATGTACAGGTCACCAAATTTCAATATGCTCTTTCAGTTCCTGCTAACAAAAGGTTTCAAATGCGAACTGTTTTCGCGTTCATCGAAAAATCATCACGTGATCAACTAATGCAAAAGGCCAATTGCATTGTACTTCAATTTGAATACAACATAGCATTTCGTATTCTCGGTATTTATTATTGCATTGAAATTTGCATATTTTGTCATTGCGCCCTTTTGGGACTAATTCGTCCATCTATGGGACTTTTAACACACTACTTGTCCCAGGCAGACGAGAAAAAGCAAAAAAAACATTCTTCGACCATTATTATTATTTGCGGATGAATGCTATTCATCGATATTAATATTAGCTAAAAAAATTCAGTTGTTTGTTGTCTTTGATTTTATGCCTTTTCTGTTTGAGGGCATGCGAGGATAGTTTTATATTTAACAGGGATTTTGAACTTGCAGATCCATTTGAGGAACTTCCTGTGCAGATCAATATTGCGAATTATTACTCCGCAAGTTCTGGACAGCTACGACACTTGAGGGCCACGCCCTTTCCAGTTTAAAATATATATAAACTTCAACAAAATTTATCTTTTGACTTGAGTATTAATTCGTTTTGAAAATTGACCGTCTTTAATAATTTTTGGTGTTTTCATTAGTAACGTTTTCCTTACTTGGCTAATAAAGAAATAATTGCCTTTAACTTTGTTGGAAGTCTCTTTATATTTTAGCCATTTAGCTGTCACGTAAATCTGTTTTGCTTTAATAAAAAGTGTTTTAAGGTCAGCGTAGTACGTCGTTCCATAAAAGAGTAGAGAGTAATAAAGTGTAATAACAGGGTCACAAATTCACGATTTGATAAGTGGTTGAAAAGTAATGTAGCCTCTGAGTGCAAATATACCTTTTTGTTTTTATAGTAGGCGACTGTGCGTAGGCTAACGTTGCACTAGCAACGACAGCGCGAGCACAAGGGTGCTTACCTCACTGTAAAATAGCGTGAATGCATACACGAGTTCATGTTTTTGCCCTACCGTGTGCATGCGCTTTTACTTGCATTTAGGTTCTGCCGCATCCTTAAACACAGCAATAGCACAAACCAAAATTAGACACTATACCCTGTAAGCAGAGGTTTCTTTATGGCATTACTTTTCTCAGTCTTTCCCTTGGCTTTTCAGTCGCGTACTTGGTTTGTAAATCACACTGCTCGTGGGGAAAATCACTAGTGCCAGTGTCACTCGTGTAGGGGTGCGTTCTGCGATTTTGGCTTAATACAGGTCGAGGAATAGGTGTGATCTATTTGTTCGACAACATTTTTTTGCCACAAAGTTTAAAAAATAAACGTACATTTTCTTTTTGCTGTTGCGTAAGATGTATAGTACTGTGCTTGCAATTTCGTTTAAGATTGAATCAACTTCACTTAAAAAAAAAAGTCAGAATGGTGCTATTCATCACTTGAACATCTACAATCTTGTTTGCCACCTAAAATCGCATTGTGACTTACACTTTATGATAGCGAGTTTAAAGCAGATAAGGAAAGTAACCTGACGTTGATTTAAGCCAAGCTTCTAGAAATTCAAGTAAAACATATACATTATGTAACCTACTCAAATTAAAGGCATTCGTCGTATTTCCTCAATTTAATTATAATGGTAAGTGAACTAAGTAATTTTTCAGACATCATACTCGTCATTTCAAAATCCGCGCTAGTTTGATTTGAAATCACAAGTATGATTTTAGACCAAATTGGCACGACACATTTTTCTTTTTACATTTCATCACATACATTTTCATAAAGTCGCTCAATTTAGCTGCCCAGATACAGGATTTTAGTCAACATCAATATATATCATTTATTTATTTATATTTATTTAATTTATTTGATCCAGTAGCCGGTTTGTCAAAAAGTGGTAATGGAAACGCTTCTTACCTTCAGCACATTCTGTATGAAAAACAAAAGTGATTTACTGAGCAGAAATGTTGCGCTTCCAATTAAGTTCTAATTATTTTCATCCTTATATTAAAAAATATAAATTTTCTTGTTTTGTGGTACTCTATATTGTTTCGTGAATTATATGCTCGGCTTTAAAACTTCAATAAGTTTAAGCACGAAAACTTAAATTTTCATATGAGCGCTGCACGAATTATAATTACATTACTGTAGATCCAAGGCGTTTTTAAAATTACCTAGTTCTAATCAAGAAGATCCCAAGCGAATGCCCACGGATATACTCAGTCAGAACGTAAAAGCTGTTTTTGCCGTCGCTTGATAACAAACCTTAGAAATAAGTCCGAAATTAATTGCATTTTTGTTGTCTCCTTTGATAGCATTCAAAAGTGTTGTCAAAGTGAAAATTTCGTATTCAGCTTCATCTTTAAAAACCACTAAAAGTATAGCGCAGCCACCACGTTTGACTTCATCTTTGACGTGCGTCAAAAGTGAAGTCAAAGTTACCGGCATATTTGACAACACCTTTGACGAGTGTTAAAGGAATAGCACAACGTTCACGCATTTGACTTTACCTTTGACGTGCGTCAAAGGTAAAGTCAAAGTTACCAGCATATTTGTCACACCTTTGACACACGTTAAAAGAATAGCAAAGTGTTGATTCATTTGACTTCACCTTTGACGCGCGTCAAAAGTGAAGTCAAAGTTGTTAATCATTTGACTTCGCATTTACCAAGGTCAAAGGAGTAAGCAAATAGGTTATATATTTGCCTGTATCTTTAACGCACGTCAAAGGTGATGTCAAAGCCGATACCATATTTGACTTAACTTTTGACGCGCGTCAAAACTGCAGTAAATCCAATTTTTCGTCCCGTGACAGTGAGTGTAGTGAGCCTTTTTTATTGTGTACAGTGTGATATGTTTAGATTGTCATAAACGATAGGGTGTACCGGATGGCACTGGTCTAGGACAGCAGTACAGGCCAATGATTGTGATTCTTTGTTCTCAGCCACCTATATATCGCTATCGTCACTTTTGCACCTGATTGAAAAGCCTTTGTGTGCCTCAACTTTGCAGCATTACATGAAAAGTAGCGTTGAATTTGTTGAGCACTCAAAAATTTATCAACTGTAAAACGCCGCTGGCCTGTTTCAGGTGTCGTGTATGGCATGTCTTTGGGAAACCATGTCGGAATTGGGTTTTGTGTCCGCTCTCCTATCTCGAACTTGTCATCAAGGTATTGACACTGGTTATGAAATGTGAGAATGTTAAATTTTTAAACATCATTGTCATGCTTTATATGAAAGTAGAACATTGCAGTTGTAGACTCAACTAGCTAGCGCTTGACGGGATTCAAACCCTTGACCTCTGCGATACGCATGCATGCTTTGCATTTTTTTACATGGTGATAGTTGCGTGCTAAAATTGGACAGGTCATGCATATACTATTTTTAGTTGTAGTTTGAAAGCTTAAAATGGTCATGACAAATTATAAAAACTGATTTCATTCACCAAACAATCTAATTATTCGTATGCTTGTTTTCCTTACTAAGAAAACAATGGGCAAAGACGTTACGTTACCCTTTCTTAAAGTCATTGGCTCTTTGTCTTGAACAAATGTTGTGTGGCTAAAGTATGACGAGTCCCTGCTTTTCGGTAAGCTCTTCACTAGCCCTTTTTTCATTTACCCAAAAAAGTCGTAATCTTTACCTTATGGAAGCTTTTTTCGTTATAAGATGGGATGCGTGCCCATCACGCTATCACCATCGGTCCACAACGCAACAATTGCACTAAATTCTTTATGAGCATCTCGTATACTTAAAAAGCCCCCCCTACATGGTGTGTGAGAGAGGGCAACAAATTTGTCCAAAAACGGACATTTTTCCGCAAGTCTGTGTTTTAACATTATTCTCTGCTCATTAATAGTGTCAAGCATGGTAGATTGATATGCCGAGATGCTGGCGCAAAAGTAGTACACAGGAGGCGGAAAGCCAGTTAAGCCAATGTGGGGAAGGGGAATTTCTTTGCCCGAAATTTGTTGATTAAAATAGACTGCTGTTTTGTTGTACATCCTTCCTAACTACTTTTGTCTTTGGTTGTAGTTGCGTTCATATTAAAAAAGGTGTTAAGTTTAACACCGTTTACAATTGTTTCATTCAGAAAGGCAGTATACTGAATATAGTTCAAATAGTGAAATATTTTAGGCCAGTTATTTAAATGTAGTTCAGCCCATGTTTGACTGTACCTCTTCCTAAGCCATAACTCATTTTGCCTACCGCTTTTATCTAGAAGTATTTTTCGTCACATTTGAATAAAGCATACAGCACAGACTGGAAAAGTATTTTCTTTTATAAATTGACCCCTTAAGATAGAGATCTGGAGGTCTAATGATTTCTTAAACTGTGGCCTAAATAACCAACTCTTTGAATTTCATTTGCATCCTGTGTGACAGCCTGTGTTAAAAAATTCCCATGCCTGTTTCCTTCGGTTACCTAGTTGCTTTTCTATTTAAATACAATTGGATTTAAACTTACCTCCTTTTGTTTTTGTTTCTTCTCCTTCATTTGTCTTTTAGCTTTTCCGTTTTATTTTGTAACCTTTCAGGTAAAAAAAGATCATCTTGCCAAATGTGTTCGTGGCATTACAGTTAACCTTAAAGGCAAATAGAACAATGGCACTTGTAAGCAACGGAAAGAATTTTTCAAAGTGATCAAAGAAAAGTCTACAGCGTTATTTTCAATTTAGTTAACGCACATGCTAGCAATATGACAAAACAATAACACAAGGAAAATTTGCAATTAAGTTATTTGAAAGGTAAGTGTAATCTTGAAAGAATACTAACACCAAATCAGTCTTATTATCAGATCCAAGATCAAAGGCACACGCAAGCAATAATTGACATATGTAATTTAACGAGTAAGTTATTTAAAATGCATGCGCAAATTTGTGACACAATCTACAAGGGATAGTGATAATCACCTTATTGGACCGTGCCTTGGTGGTTCAATGCTTTCTTTATCCATCTCTTCAGGTTCAGCTGGCTGGGTTCTGGGACGTGAATGGTCTCTTGTAAATTTTCCTTGCACCACTCCACGTCTTTGAAGTTCAACACTCCTTCGTCATCTACAATTTTTATATGTTGGATGAGTAATGTATAGGCATTCATACTCAACTGTCCCTCTGATTCGAACCTTATTTTGTGTTTTTATTACATTTTAGCGCAAATTGTTTGTTGGACATAATGAGGATTGCATTTTCGATTCGGTGATTTCGTTCCCTTCATGTACTTTGCATTTGCATGAAATTCAAAAGCTAATGCAGTTTATGATTAGATCATTACAATTGAAATATTTAGAGGCAAACTGTAAGACAAACCAACTGCAGTTAACATGATAATTACTTACCATTTAATGCAAGTATCTCTGCACAGATCCTTCTCTCCTTGCGCATTCACTGACACTTCTTACCCTTCACTCAACACTAAATGCTTTCACTCAACACTAAATGCTTTCTTAATTGTCTGGGCACTATCCTGGTTTTCTTCTTTTCCAGGAAAAACAAGAGCCCTTTTAGTGGACGCTTTCCGGTTTCATTACATAACTTTCAGAGAGCCATTGCAAACGATACTAATGGAACTGTTATGGAAATGATGTGTGTCAATTAGATTTCAAGAGAGAAACGAAAAGGATACAGGTCCTTTTATACTTAAACGTAATGAGCACTTGGATCGAAAATCCCGCCTTTTAATTGGATATTTATTGTTCGTTTTATGATGATAAATTGGCTGTCTGTTATGTTTGCATTTGAAATTAGCAGATCGAAATCCCTGCGTTGCTATTGATCGAGCAAGATCAAGATCTTTATTCTTTTGTAAATTTTTCTTCACGAGTCTTTCCTGTGGCAATGATGTTTACCAAAATGATAGTTTGTTTTAACCTTGTGACATGGAGTTGTTGATTAACAGCACAGCTGTATGGCATGGGTTTCTTAACTAAGGAGAGCAAAGCTAGAATAGTTCGGCTTTAAATGATAGGAAAGTGGAAAGGGCGCTTCTGAAATAGTTTATAATACTTGCGGAAGATGATGTGAAAATCAGCTGCTGGCGTGTAATTCGCACTGAAGTGAAGCGCCCTTACAAAAGTGATTTATAATCTCGCCACCTGTGAAGCGCATTGTTCATGCACGCTCTTAGGGGCATGCAAACTTGGCTTGCCTATGAATACATATTTGTTTGTTGAATATATATACTGGCCATTTCTGGGTGGTATCCACGTCCGTTGTGACATCACACAGCATATGTATTTCCGGTTCATGGTTCACCATTGTCTTTCATTCAATTTTATGCATCGTCTGTAAACGAAATTTTTGTACTTGGTGAGTCAAGAGCAAATTTCTTCAATGCAAAAGAGCCAAAGAACCAAACACAACTCTGGATTCAGTTGAATCACCACTGCTGCGCCATTTTTCTTTTTTTTCCAATGAAAAAGAAGCATCAGCATCACCATCAGCATCAACCTTTAACAGAAGATAAAGATATTCATGGTACATGTTTAATAATGTTTAATGGAAAAGGGCTAACACAGTCGTTTAGCAGTCAATTTACAGAATGCTTAATAAACAACCTTACCTCACATCATAAATTGTTACATTATTGCCATAAATATTTTAGATGCTCTCTATAAGATCTTATAGAAGGATTAACAAAGATTTCTCTAAGAGGCCACAATTTACTTAGTTTTCGTAATCAAGCAACCTAATGTCATTGTTTGCATCAGTTCAATAAAAATCAGCTGAATAATCTATACCAAGGAACAAATCAATTACTGGCACTCAAAATTGACACTGACCTTTCATAAACTTACCATGTTTCTAAAGATTGCTCTTGCTTCTTTTCGAGTCTAAATACAAAAACTTTGATGACAATTATATATCTCTAGTTTTTTTGACACTTTATTAGGGCAAATCCGTAATAATAAAATAATTAACAAGAAGGCCTATTTTTAAAGAAGTAAAATAAGAATAGGTAACTATAATTACAAGGATAATTACAAAACAAGTGTTGATCCCGAAAAGGACAATAACTCCAGTTGTTTTTGTCGGGATTTAACCTCAAAACAAGGTCAAACTTTAACCTTTAATATCTCTGAGGGGTTCCACGACCTGCATTCAAACTCACAGGGCAGGTTGTCACAGTTTAGGGCGGTCTATTGAGCAAAGAAAGTTCCACTTTTATGGGGTGGGGATACACTCCAATTCCGGGGAGACTCCTAAGACTATTTATCCCTACTAAACGTCCATAGGTAGCTGACTTTGGGCAGTGACTAGTACTCTATTCTGCTCTATTTAACATTATTAGCGTATTGAAGGTCCCCCTTTTTGGGGGTACCTCATTCGTCATTATTTTACATGTGTGCTCAACGTCTTGACAATAATTGTTTGAGTGTTTTCCATAGTTCGTAATTTTGTATGTTTTTTTTATCTAACTCTAGAATTAGTGAGGGCATGTCATCGCA